GCTTTAGTCATTTCACGTCTTTGGTGAGTCGAGTCTTTTAGTGAATTTTGAAGCAGGGATTTAGTGAAATTATTTTTTGATCCATGGCAACACTGGGCAAAAAATAAGAAAAATGGTTGAATTATATATATATATATACATACAATTATATTTTTCTACATATTCTACATTTTACGATCCTTTAATTAAAAACAACAAAAAATGAACATATAAAAATATTAGAATTATATATTATAAATAAGTTGGTTTATTACATAAATATAACAGTTAATTTTATTGATATGTTTAGAAATTGAATTTAAATGGACTGGATTCAGTTTTATTACTATTACAAACAGCCTGCTCTGTACTTTGTAATGTATTTTGTGTTCTACGATCATCCGTTTGTCTATTAGAATTCTGTGTACTACATCCAGCAGCTTTTTTAATAAATATTGATTTCTTTTCTAGTGAGGTAGAACCAGTGAACTTAACTACTGATACAGTTTTGCTAAACTTTCGCTCGTCCTCAGCCATTTTCTCTCTGTAGTCTCCCAATGTATTTCTCATTATTTGTCTCTTTTTTACTAACGGCGCAGTGTTACTCTTCAACGAATGTAATTGTTTACTAAGTTCCTGCACTTGCTTCTCTTGAAGTTTGCCGTCAGCTAGGCTCGCTTCCATTTGTTGTATGCACCAACATAATTCCAATTCGAAAAGGTCCTTCGCTTCTGGATCCAAAACGCTTGCATTACTAGCGTCTGTTCTTGGAAAAACGCATGATTCTGATACGTTCTTTTTGTTGCGTTTGGAATTCTGAAATAAATGTGACATTCATAAATCTGTTCTTTTCAGCTAAACTTGTACGATTCATTTTTCTTCTCTATCTTGAAAAGAAAGAGTAAAGATAAGCAATGTAAAAAAGCAAAAAAAAAATAGGCTTCATATTAACAATGCTCTCAACCTCGATAATAAACATTATTTTTTAAAACAAGGGAACGAGGATTTTCATGAATTACCAGTGCAGATTTTGGCGGCATTTCACAACGAGGTTTATTTCAGCTAACGGCTTACGTAATTACAAAATCACAATATTAAATTTAGTTTTATATACGATTAAAATCACAATATTAAATTTAGTTTTATGTACGATTGAAATCTAAAACTAAATACGTGTCCATGAATATATCATTCGATAATGCATAGATATTAGGTTATGTTTGAATTTTGAACGTGCTATGGCGATAGTGTAGCCATCTCTTGTAGTACGTAAGAAGAAATAAAGCGACATTTTACCACGAAGACGATCGATAAGTAGATCGTCTTCGATCAGGCAAGTTTAAAATTTCAAATAACAATAAAATTTTGCAACGTGAAGCAAGCATGAATTTTTAATTTAAAAGTATTCGAGGATTTGCGTATTTCTTTCAAATTATCATGTACAGCTACAAGGAATTTGCGTTCTATCTTCTTTCCCAAACAAAAATCGCAAGGATAAGTTCTTATCTTTCCGTTTTTCTGCGCAATAAATTTCAATAACGCTCGTGCCGTTGATCGTGCTGGAATGAAAAAAAATGCAATTACAAGAGAGAAAATAAATTCGTATGTCGGTACATGCTGGTCAGTCTTTACAATTAAGGACGGACATACGAAAAGTGTGAAAGTAATTGTGCGGAAACGCAACATCAGAAAGCGACGGAGATTGAAAAGATTGGATTATGTGTTAGCATGCGGTATAAAGGCGTGGGGTAGTTGCGGAGAAAATTAAAAGTACAGTGGCCTCATAAAACGAATCGTCTGCAGGAATTTATCTCGAAATCGTATAAATTTCTGATCTTCGAAATTAAGTGTTAAAGATTGAAAGTTAAGATCAAGCTTGAAAATATAATAATAAATCAATTTAGCATATTTAATTCAATTTGAAAATCAATATAATATATTTAAAATTTCAATTAACTTGTTAAAGCGTTGTTTTTTATAATTTTATATTTCGGTACGCATAATAAAAATTAATAGATAAGAATAAAAAAAAAGGAAACAAACCTGATTGGAAAAATTACATATTTCTATATAAATGTACAAATAAATATGCTACAAATGTACAAGTAAATTAATAAACGTGACTTCTTTTTTTTTCGATTTAACTGTTTTTACAAGGCCTTTTAGGCTGGGTTGTTCCACCTTTCGGTAAACTTCGGTAAGCTCACTGGCCCTTGAAGAGAAGGAGAAATGTGCGTTTCAGTAAAAGAGCGGTAGAAATATATAATGTACAAGATAGTATACACAGTATATATATAGACGACAGGATGACATTAATTCTTCAGAATATATTTACAAGAGCAGTACAAAGAATAACTCGATATTACACATATATATTCGTTACGTAGACTAACGAGTAATAGGTATAAGCAGGTGAACAGTTTAAATATTAATTGAGGCACGTGATAATAAGGCATTTCTACAGAGGATAGACACACGATCGTACGCACGTAAGATAGCGTTTTGTTTTTTTCTAAAAAAGAAAAGATAAAAATCAACATGAAAGAGAAAATTGATCATTCTGAGCTTCGTGACATATTTAAATTACATCTTTCGCTTATCTGATTTATACAGAAATATAAAATTTGGCAGAGATAACAAACGGTCCACGATCTATTTTGAATGTCTACTTAAGAAATTTTTTTTATCATTTTATGATATTAAAAGTTAGATTATATAAGAAAAAGATTATATAAGATTATATAAAAGCAGAGCTTTTACATAAATCAGGGAATAGAATATCTATATCGTTTAAATTTTTGTGGCCTTCAACAATCTATATTAATATTGGATTGACAAATTGATACTTTCATAAATTATATGCTAGTAATAATTTCAAAGAATCGATACAGACAATACAACATAGTTAAAAATATCAAACAACGTTGTCTCAAAGAACATCGCAAAGGCGATTTGATCGAGATAGCTTCCAGTTTTTTATGTTATGCTTGAAACATTTAAACAGAATCTGCAAATTATTTGCAATATATGTAAACTAGGAAAATTAAGTATTCCCTTCTTACAAATAAAAATATATTTTCATGGATAAACACTTCTCTCAAATACAGTATATATGTTTTAAGTACTCATACATTATTAACGAGATATGTCTATTCACAGATTGTTTTCATCAAATCATTTCGGATTTGCCTTTGAGAGAATCAATTATGTCTATCTTACGTGTTTACAATCGTTGCAAATTACATTAGTGGACGTCACAATGAAGATTGGTATTCAGTGCAAACCAATTGTGCTACACTGAATAACATACGACTTTTATCTTAAAGTGTATGTATGCATATATATATTTGTGTGTGTGTGTGTGTGTGTGTGTGTGTGTATGTGTGTACTTTTGTGCACAAACGCGTGGTCGAGATCCCTAAAGTTTAGAACACATAGCTAATTGTTCATTTGATCATCCAAAGAAGAGAGGATAGATCAAAGATTAAAGGACACATTATATACAATGCAAAAGTCATTAGCCATCACAGATTGGTAATGACATTTCTGTTTAGCATTAAAAACAAAAGAGAAATTCTGTATGTCTTAATTTGTCCGCTCATCACCTGATCTCCGATATATTTATAATAAGTATATAAAATATCATCACATCGCGCGGTCCAGATTTAAGTACAAGATCGTTCTCTCTGCGATATACGTACGAAATAGAATTTCATATAAATCGACATAATTTTATATAGAAGACAATATAGATTATGTACTTAAGGTTAAAAAGAAAAAAAGCATTGATACGACGGCAGTTATTTATAGATTGTAAATTCGAGAAAAAAACAACGCCAATACATTAATTATCCTTTTCATCACTGTAAATGCACGTTTTTACAGAAATCTAGGATCAATGTCTTGAAACGGGGGCTTATATCTTTCGTATTTCAAAGTGTATTTAGCGTAACATGTAACCACATACATACGACATCGAATCGCTCGCAAAAAATTGGTCTTTTGCAATCACGTATAAAGTGATATTCCTTAAGATACAATTATCTATGAGAACGCGTTAAACATTTCAAAATTCTTTCTTATCATCGCGCCTTCCGAGATACAGATCCAGTTTAACCGAATTGGCGTAAAGACATTGTGTTACAAAAATATCGCATTTGATGAAGAGATTTTCACAAGAAAATTCTATATTAAAACTATATTATATCTTCGAGAGAGAAAACTGTGTAAACGAATAAAAATTACACGCGTATAATATACATAATTATCGCGATGAAATATAATGATACTAAACGTTAAAGAAAAGATAATGAGTAAATAGAAAATTATTTTTTAATGGCAAGATCTGTATATAT